CCCCCCCCCCCCCCTATTTGAGCTCGTGGGGGGGCATATTTTTCCACCGTTGTACAGGGGAGGGAGGGGGGGTTTAATTTTTGAAAATATATAATCTATTCATTCCAATACAAAGAAAATGAAGCATGAAATAAGTATATGAATGCTATAGGGAAATTGCAACATCTCCATTTTGTAAAATAATATATTTTGTTCAATATTTGTGAATAGTACTGAGTACATCTCGAGAAATTTTGCATATTTGATGAAGTATTCTTTGCTTCGTTTCAAATCTCTCTGTATTATTTATTCCAAAATATTCTATATTCATTCATTCGAATCCGTTTATATAGAGTGAGATTCTGAAATATATTAAATGTTTTGATTTGAAGCAGATTCTTTAAATATATATATACTTATTACTTATCCTTTCATTAAACCATTCAATTATCCTTTTAATTATCTTTCCATTTAATATTTCATAAAAACATTATTCTTTCATTGAAGCCTTTAAAATAAAGAAAAACATCATTTGGTTGTTATCTATATAATAAAACAAGACATTCGTATATATATATATGTTGCGTATAGCCAGATTCTTTTTTTCAATTTTTTTTATTTCCACGGGCAACGCCGTGCCCTTTAGCTAGTTTAATTATATAATAGTATTGAAGCATAACAACTGCATTGCAGGCATTATATTATTAGATATATGCTTTAATATTTAATCGGTACCATAGATTAATAACAACAAAGATTTAGGGTTTTTCATTCACAATAACCCTGAGACAGAGAAAGGGGTCTCGTGCATGCTTTCTCTCAGTCTTGTAATTCAACGCTGCCTGCGCGAAACTCCTTTGGGCTTCTACCTCAGGGTTATTATAAATGAAAAATCCCTAATCTTGAAAGAAAGACATCTAGTGCACTCCATATGGTCATTAAATATTTCTACTTTCAGTGCACTCTATGTGGTCACTCACATTATTTTTACTATCAGTGCACTTAATGTGGTCACTTCCTTTATTTCTACTATCATAGTGCACACCATATGGTCATTCAATATTTTTACTATCAGTGCACTCAATGCGGTCACTCCCATTATTTCTACTATCAGTGCACTTCATGTGGTCACTTCCTTTATTTCTATTATCAGTGCACTCCATATGGTCATTCAATATTTCTACTATCAGTTCACTCAATGTGGTCACTTCCTTTATTTCTACTATCAGTGCACTCCATGTGGTCACTCCTTTTATTTTTACTATCAGTGCACTCCATGAAGTCACTTCCTTTATTTCTACGTTCAGTGCACTCCATGTTGTCACTCCCTTTATTTCTACTATAAGGGCACTCCATGTGGGCACTCCCTTTATTTCTACTATTAGTGCACTCCATGTTATCACTCCCTTTATTTCTACTATAAGTGCACTTCATGTGGTCACTCCCTTTATTTCTAATATCAGTGCTCTAGTTACCGGTCTCTCCCTCTAATAAATGATGAATTTAGATTCACCGAGTGGATGAGAAATTTCCAATTCCAAGCTAAGAAGATTGATGTTCTGTCTCGGTAAGTTTAGGTTGGTCGGAATACTTGTTTTGATAAATTTCAAATTGGCCATGTGTAATTGGATTTATCAAACAATATTTGTTTCTTTATTTTAAAATTGATGTTGGTTTAATTTCATTAATATCTGTCTATAATTATTTGGATAAATGCGTGTGGGTTTGATTTCAGCACAATTTCACTTAAATTTCAATTAATTTCTACAGTGTAAATTTAAAGTTCTTTATTTTTCTATAAATTCCTTTTTACATTATTTATTTTTGTACTTATTCAGAACTTTTTGTTTGCTTTAGTCTTAATTGAGTATAGAATTTATGAATAGAAATAAATTAATTTAACGATTATAAAACATAATATTTGGTATAGTATAAAACTGGCTATGACCCGAATTCACCCCAAGTTGAGGAATTGCAGGGTTTGTTCAGAAATTTGGTTGTGTGTCACAAAAAAGTATTAAATATTAAAAACAGAGGATTTAATAAGGTTGTACATTGTAAAAAGTACAAGTGGAGACTGTATAGGTCTTTTTATTATACTTTCATTAATAAAGATTATGTTTTACATTTTTATTACTATTTTTTTATAATTAAAAAAAAAACTTTTTTTTGGTTACACATGACTCTTGTTTTTAGAATTCTGTTCCCGTCAACATTCGCCCTGTTCAACTGTCTATATTGGAGCTATTATCTTACTAGGTCTCATGGAAAACAATCTTAAACAAACCTAGTAGTTCATACAACCTAGATACTAGTTCATACAACCTAGATACTAGTTCATACAGCCTAGACAATAGTTCATACAAAATAGACACTATTTCATACAAACTAGACAATAGTACATACAACCTAGACAATAGTTGATACAGCCTTGACAATAGTTCATACAACCTTGACAATAGTTCATACAACCTTGACAATAGTTCATACAACCTTGACAATAGTTCATACGACCTGGACAATAGTTGATAGAGAAACCAAAACAGTATTTCTGGTTTTAATTGTAACAGTGAAGAACAAGAACAGTTTATTGTATGTGCAATTGTGCATGACAACGTACTTAAGTACTGTACGTTTCAGAGAACCTGAATGTTTACAATAATATTGTAATATTGTTTAATGTTTGTAAAATGATAATTGCAAAATTCAAATCCATTTCAAAATTATCAAAAAAAAGAAGAATTGAAACAATTAAATTTTCCGATAAACAGATGTTACATTTTCAGATGCCATCAAAAATTTATTATTTTTAACGGAAAACATCCGTTTTCCGTTTTTTCTTGATGTTCATTTACTTGATATTATGTACAATTTTTGCATCTTTAGGACAGTTAACCCTATTATGTATTTCTATTATTATGTATTATTAAGGGTTCGGAAAATAGTTTATTCAATTGAATCCCACAGATCCAAGATTATATTTAAGTCCAGTAAATTTTGACACAAAATTAATTATTTAAAAAGTTAGATTTTTAAATGTTTAAATTGTTTGCAAAAAAAATAACACAATTGATCTAATTTCGCACAAAAATGAGAACGTCCTTGCAGTTACATTTTATTTCAAATTTTGTTATCTAAAGAGGTTGTCATATTTATTTATCATTAATCCTTAAGTGCCATCATTGATTCACAATTTAACCCTCTAAACGACGAAGGAGAGGAATCGTCGTTTTTTATTTTCGAATAAAACGAATTTCTCTCAATTTCTGACTCTTCTTTGCATGCGTTAATTCGCAATTATTGCTTTTTCTTAATGCCTGTTAATTTTCTGTTTCAAAACGAGCAAATACTTTTTTATTGCAGTTGCTTAGTTATCAATATAATCAATATTCATTCAGGTTTTTAGAATTATAAAAACATATTTCAAGGTTTGCTTGTCTTGCATTTATAGTTGGTCACTTTGCGACGTTTTGTGTCTTTTACTAGCGGGCGGGTTTACTCCTAAACCTCACGTTATACATTTATAGAACGCATATTGAAACCCCCTGAAAATTGAGTTTTGGCTTAATTTTGATCGGCTGCCCATAATCTAGGAGTGCCATAAAATATTAACAACCACAACGGAAATTTTTTGTTTATCTGGCCTTGCCTATCTGTTAGGTACTTTACGTGTCACTTTGTGACCGCAGGTTTCAAGAAATAAAAAAGATATATATGAACACTCAACTGTTTAAAAGTGTTAAAGCAAGTGCCGCTGTTAATCGTTCATGGCACTCAATATAGCTGGGAGCAGTCAGATTAATTCTGAAAAAATATAAGTTTTAAAATTTTTAATGTGGATTTTCTTGAAGATGTTTCCCAGTCTATATAGAGAAAGAAGAAAAGATTGTTTAAGCTCGTAAATATAACAAATACGTCTTTATTTGGCATTTTCTATCCNTTGGCAAAGAAAGAAACATAGTTTACAATCGCAGGAAATATGTGAATATATTGAAACAGATAATTTTATTATCATTTAATGATGTATGTATAAATGTGTAACTCCCTCGGGAGTACTTTTACCAAAAACAAGATTAATTCTAAAAGGACGTGTGTTTTTGAACTTTGCCTAGAGAATCTCAATATTTGAATTTTGAATTTGGTTTTTTAATGCATACTTTTTACAAGAAATTAAAACTGCATTACATTTTTTGACTTACAGGGAAAATACTATTCTAATTTGTTTTTAATTAAAAACACAACTAATTTGATCTTAATACTCAAGAATGTCAAAACCAAAAAGGCCAGAACAGGACGATTCAAAATAGGGAGTTTGCCAGAAAAAAAAAATTCGCGGATTTTTTAAAAATATCTTTCGTTTTTCATCTGAAAAGACGAACAAATTGAGTACTCTTTTTTTCAGTGAGAATATAGTAAGATGTATGAATCATGTATGATAAAAATATGTTAATTGTTATGTAATAAATTTGTTTGTCAAAGCTTGAAGAGCACAGAGATATGAATGCAATACTATAAATCTACTCTTAATCGTTATTCAAATAAACGTGTAATTTTCACCAGTAATGTTTGATTTCAATTATTTTTACCAAAAATTCCTCCAAAACAATGGAAGGATGTTATGTTAGTTCATATTCTCACTTGGGAATGTTTCTGAAAAATAACATCCCGACCGTGAAAAAAAACCCTCAAATTTGTATCACAAAATGTTGCATTTTAAAACTTTTTATTACTTATCTTGCATTTTTTAATGATCCAATTGGTTTTGAGAAACCTTTTAGTAGAATAAAATCCCCTTACGATTATTGATTTTAATAGTCAGTGGTGCCCCCCCCCCCACCTCCATTGATGAAAATATGCACTTAATGAGCTTTTCTGTGCACAGCAGGAAGTCTGCTGAGTTGGGCCAATCTTCGTAGGGAATCGTATCCCCCCCCCCCCCTCCCTCCCCTCCTTAGCACAAACAAAGAATAAAGACATTGTTGGTGGAGCTTGGATATATTCACTTAAGTAGCTAAAAGGCACAAACACTAAACAGGGATATATTTTCTCCGCCATTTTGATTCTTAAAAAAAAAGAATTAAAACCCAAAAACTTATAATTTATTTATCATAGATTTGGTGTTTAAACTTTAGTTTCTGCATTTTTATGTGCAGCACACCCTTTATTGAAAACTTTGGGGTTTGGGTGGTATTTGTCTCAATTTTCCAAATCAGATGAAGCCATTTCTTCTTTTTCATCTGTTTCATGGTTTCAGCTAAACCATTTTGTTCTGATATTTTTCAAATAAAAACTTGAGAAAGGAATTGAGTCTTTGCTACAAACTATGATTTTCTAATACCAATATCTTTGCAAACCAACGTCGTAGACCTTAAATATTTTAAACTGTCACTTAAAATGGATCAAATAATCTTAGTTTGAAATATCAAAGGTTTACATTAAAAGGCTGCAACGTTAATGGGGTTAATTTGGGTTTGTGACAAAGACTCAATTCCTTTCTCGGCATTAAATGTATCAATTCTAACAAAATGATAGTTAGGAAACAATGATTTACAAGTCTAATCTTCCTACTGCCCAGAATTTACTATCTTTGTTATCTATATACAGTAGTAATCTCTCTGTTTAAATGTCTGTTTGGATGTCAGATCATAAGTCATAACTCATGGATCATTTAACGGTTTCGCCTTCAATTTTGATTGAAGAACTCGGTTTTAAAGTTATTCTTTTTATTGAAATCTCCGGATGGGTTCCCGAGCTAGTTGTTTTTATAAAGCTAAGTCCAAACCACTAGAATCTCCCCAAAAGGTTCTGTTCTGTTTTGCCTCACTAAGTCTGTATGTACGTGTACTGTTACAGTTTTCTCGCGCTGCTTTATAGTCGGGCTTTTACTTTTACCGGGTTTAATTTAGTAGGGGTCATCACAGTAAAATGTTTACACCAACCCTATCCCTCTTACCCTCAGCATATTCAATTGTCTAGTAACAAAGTATATATCTCTAAAATAAACAATACATGCACACTGCACAGTGTGTTCCAAAAAAAGAGTGTTCATGGTATCAAATAATGCATTAGAACTCAAATTTATCATAACTTTTTAAACTGAATTAATTGCGGGTAATATTTTCTCTCATTTTTAAATTCAAAACCTTGTTTAGCTGTATAAGGAGTGTCAAAATGTTAGAATGTTGGTTCCTCTAAATTTGTGTTCTTATTTGACACTCTAAACAGAGAAAAGGAGGTAACTCATTTTCTCCATAAGAAGTCAAGATGATTGTGGAGTAAACACGCAGCCCCCTGTTTAACTGATACAATTAACAAACTTTTAATTTTTAGGAATTATTTTTAAAGATCTTATGAAAAGTTTGACATGAAAAGGCATGTTTTTTACTTTTTACGAAAAAATTATTTATTTTCCCCAATTCAGCCAATAAACATTGAAAAAAATACCTATCATCAGGGGAAAAACAATGATTTTCAAAAGAGAGGGGGGAAATTTTTCAGGAAAATATTTACCCCTGCAGGTGAATTTGTAAAAGTGATAAAGTAACATCAAAAGATGAGTCTGCAAAACCGACAGAGAACTATTCAAATATGACGATCCCAAGTTTAAATTATTTCATCTACCTTAATTATAGTATTTAAATTTATTATTTCATTATTACTTAGTGATTTGGCAAAGAAAGAAACATAGTTTACAATCGCAGGAAATATGTGAATATATTGAAACAGATAATTTTATTATTATTTAATGATTTGACAAAGAAAGAAACTTAAGTTTACAGTCGCAGGAAATCATGAATATATAGAAATAGATAGTATAGTTCACTACAGCCGTCTCATCCCTTGTGGGTAACCCTGCATAATTATTTTATGAAAAAATTTTGGTCATTGGTTGCACTAAATTAACACCAATTATAATTATAATATGTTTACCCTCCTTTAAACAGAAACAAGGCTTTGGATTTAAAAAAAAAATATTGCGAAAAAATACTTCCACGAAAATGTAAAGTTATACAAAGGCATTAACATTCACTATTATCTTGGGACATCCTGTTGTATTTCTGAAAAATTATTTATCTGCAGTTGACAATACATCAGAATCCACCACAAATGCTTTTGTAAATAATGGATACACTTACTATATTGTATGAGGGAGGGGCATTAGGTTGCAAAGATATGATAATATTGCCAGTTTAGTTTAGAGAAGCCAATGTACAGGATAAAAAAGAAAAAAATTATTTTAGGGCGTATAAGGATTAAGAATGTGGAAAAATCTACAAATATTTATTTTCTTTTTTGCAAGAATAGCAAAAGGGTGTATTCCAATTTACACATTTGGTTTTATATTTGCAGATTCCATACGAATTGTATTTTCTTTTTTGCAAAAATCTTATTTATAAAAAAAACCAACATTTTTACTTCCAATATTTTAAATTCGTCGTCGATTAAATACTTTTATATAAAGCTATGAATAATCGACGAATAATTACGCTGATAAACAACATATTTAGAAAATATTTCATTAATCTCTTGGTTTGTTTATAAGTAATTTCAAATTTTAAAACAAAAGATCTAAATTGCATAAACCATTTTCATGAAGTGTTTTCTTTTCACTCGGGGATTATTGTAAACTAAAATCAGAAAATTTTAATTTATTCCTAGTTTTACAGAATATGTTTACAACTTTTAACATTCATAATGGAGATATGTTATCAGGGACATTTTAAGTGAATTTAAGTTTTTCCCGCCATATTATAGAAGTTGGCATTTTAAGTGATCATCAATCATATGGTTGATGTTGCGTAATTTCTTAAATTGAAACGAATTACAAGTGGGAGCCATAAAACTGTGAAATTAGAAGATTAGAAGGTTAAATTTGCCATTGCTAGTTCAGTGAACCTGAAAACACAGTAACTGTGCAGTGTACACAGACCCATTTATATTAATCAGTTTATTTTCATTCAGTGATAACCAGAAGACTATGAAATACGCAGACAACTTTTGGAATCAAATTTTAACATTTTAAAGTAAACAGACCCATTTCACTAAATTAGTGTTTTAATAGTGTCTATTAAAACGATTTGCTTTGTAACATCAAATACACTTTATATTGCTATAATGTCGACTTCCTATTCCAGTGTTTTCTGAATTTCATTGTACACTGCTGGTAAAATTATTTACTTTCTAACAACATATATTGCACAGAAGGATGCTTACATGTGGGCTTTTCATTACATTTTTACGAGTCTTACTGTATTTACTTGGTATTTATGTAATATGTATATTTTATGTATATATCTGAAAGTAGGATGAGTTGGATGAGATGTAGGCACTCGACCTGAAAATTAGAAAAGAATATGTCTAGGAAATACATTTATACAGAGCGTCCCATATCAAAGCGTTACACCAAAAGATGTCCGGCCACATAATACTTGAAAAACCTGGTATTTTCTGCAAGACAATTTATAGATTAGCCTTTTACATTTTTTAAATGATGCATTCTTTGTTTATTTTCTGATTAGTCCTTTTAATGTCAATTTAGAGCTATAGACAATCCAATATGATGTGGGACACCCTGTACATAAAAGATACCCACAAAGGATGAGACTTCACAGACGACAGTACGGAATTCTATGGATCTTTTTATCTTACATTAGGTTCCCTAAGCTATATTATTTTCTCTTTTTCTCAGTTTATCCGTTAATAACTATGTTAAATGCACAAGACAAAATACAATCGTTCATGCAGATTTAAAGAGTTTCAGGTCATCATTTGTGCTTTTAATATATTTCATTATTCAAGTATTTCACAATAAACTACTTAAGGGGTCTTTGCAGACTTTTTTCTAATCGGATTTTCAAGATTGAGACCATTTTTGATATCTACGTTCAATTTGCGATTCAATGAGCTTCTAGTCCTTCTAGATCTAAAAAAACAATTGTGTACTGTAATAAACTGTAACCTAACATTGAATTTAAAATTGGCAAACGGAGCTTATCTTATACTTTTTACTTCTCTCAAGTTGGAAGCTTTAGGAGCCTATAAAATTGTTATTTTTGATCTACAAGCCTAATATCGGACTCATTGAATTCTAAATTGTACGTAGATTATAGAAATGGTCTCAATCTTGAAAATCCGATTACAAGCAAGTCGGTAGACCCTTACACAAAATTGTGCAAACTGAGATTATCTTATTTTTACCAAATTACTCACTCCAGCTGGAAACTTTAGAAGCCTATAGAATCGTTATTTTAAAATCTACAAGCCTAAAACTAGGCTTATTAACTCGGAAATTGTACGTATATTATAAAAATGGTCTCAATCTTGAAAATCCGATTACAAGTAAGTCTGTGTAGGACCTTATTCCCCGCTTTTAAAACACCCTGTGTACTGTTTTGTGAATTGGTGGTAGTCTTAGTTAGATTCGTACGTATACATGATTCAACTGTGAAATGATATAAAATTTGTCTGTCCATATATAAAGCTGCAATATAGTTTGGGAATTTGTACAATTTAGAAAAACGAGATATCTCAATAAAAGTAGACTTTTTAATACAAATTGTTTATGTACTATTAAAAACTATATGATCATGTTGAGATTTTTCTAAAAAAGGCTTTTTGTGGATGTTAAAGCAAAATAATTGTTATTAGATATCAGATTGCTAGACGTAAAGACAGAGTTGGTTAGCCTGGAAGACGTAGAATAAGGCTCGGAGGCCATTCGGCGAATCAGGAGGCTCTGGGGAGGTCAGATTGCGGGCTCATGGAAGCTCTGCACCCTCTCCCTAGTACAATCCATGCAAATGTTTAGAAATTATAGGCGGTATACCACAATAATATAGTATGATCCCTGGACATATCTTTTCTTCTTTTAATTTAGTTTATGCTGGAATGAACTCGGGAATGTCAAGCGAAGCTTGTGCTGAAATAAACTAAGATTAGCATGACAGATTGTCAGAGAATTGATTCAGAGAAAATTAAATAATTTTCAAGAATTTTTTTTTCTATAAGAGATGTTCCAGGGCCCTCAGGGTTTTGGGTTATGTACATGGAACAAATGGTTATATAGCATAAATGTGTGAAATACACCAGCAGTATGGAAACAGTACAACAAAATGGTGGATTACTGTCTATTCTCTTTGGGGACATATTTTTATTGAGATTTTCATTCTGAGCTGACAAAGGAATCAAATCTTTGCCACAAACTCAAATTTTCTTATCCTTATATCTTTGCAACCTTTATATTTCAAAACTAAAGCATTTGATTTCTACTAGAAAGTTTGAAAGGTCTACAACATAGGGTTGAAAAGATATTGATTAGAACACCAGAGCTTGTGGCCAAGACAAATTTCTTTCAAGGGACCGTTCTGTTATCTAGATATTTTTCGGTTAAACTAAATAGCCTATTAGCTATTCATTAGTATTATGTATTAGTCTTACTCAAGGAGTATGAAATAGAAGGGAGATACAACTGACGCGGCCCGCCCTACCATATGATTACACATGCTTTGCAGACGGGTACTACTCCATTTGAATAAGAAATATTCAGAATAGGTTATTGTATACGCGGTAATTGTACATCAGACAAATATTTCTTATACAAATGGAGTACCGTCGTCTGCAAAGCATGTATGCTCATATGGTAGGGCGGGCCGCGACAGTTGTATCTCCCTTCTATTTCATACTCCTTGGTCTTACTTTACACGAAATCATCCACTATCAAGTTTGAACCGAGTGGAACATTGTTTTGTTCATGTTTACTATAACCCTGTTCAATAATAAACTGCGTCAATAGATAAAAGCAGTCTGTGCTTAAACACAATTTGTAATGTCATCTCTTCAGTCTCTTGAGTAACACAATAATAACCTTCCATCCATACAAAATTATCTTGATACAAATGTGTTTCCCAATTCAGAATTGGATTCGAATGAAATTATTTGTGAAATAAATTATTTATTCAGGTAGAAAGTTTAATAAAATCTTCAGTATGTCCCCAACCCTCCTGACAGGTCAAAGAGTACGACATAAATGCAATGAACAATGTCTGTACTCAAGTCCCAGCTGCAGTTTTCTCACGTATTCAAAATGTCGTCACTAAGATGATAATCACTTGACCCGTGATATTAATCACGTGACATCAGTTTACATCTTGGCGAACTTTTCAATCTCCTGATGCACAACAAAATAAAAAATAAAATCAAAATTAATGCTTTATTTTTTTACGACTTAATATATCCTTCAGTGTTAAGGTTACACCCCCCCCCCTCCTTGGGTGCCCCTACGATGTGCGGACAATTTTTTAAGGAACCATTAGGATAAAACTAGCTCAAATACGAAATTTTATCCTTTTAAGGGATTTTTCCTCAATGTCCAAACCAGTTGAATTATTAGGCCAAGCAAGAGGAGTTGAGGAGAAAATTGCACCAGAAACGGTCTTTATTTTTAAACATTTCCCTCTAATTAAGAAACAAAAAAATCGAAAAAATTGTCAAATATCGTTTTCACCAACTTGAAGTATTTCCAAAATGGTGCCATTCTTAAAATCCCTTGAAAATTGACAGAATTAACCCAATTTAACCGAGAATTGTTAAAAAAGGCCACACATGGCGGGAAAAACACGGGCTGGACCATTAAAATGCTAAAATTTCGTATTTGAGCTAGTTTTACCTAATGTTTACTAAAAAATGTGTCACACAACTGTGATTTTTTTTCAGGGGCATCTGCCCCCCCCCCAAAATAAAATGAGATGGAAAGGGGGGTAAAATTATCAGTAATAATCTAAACTCTGGATTAAATTTATTCTGGTCTGCATCCCTGAAGCAGGTTGATATACTGTGAATGCTCGTGCGCGCTACACCATTCAGAGAGATTATCTGCGAACTCACTGTTCACTCCGCGCTCCTCTGAAAATAATTATCAAATCAAAAAATCAAAAGTTACTTATTTTAGTTGAAATAAATGGTACAAATAAGTAATTTTTTGAAAGAAGTTAAAAAATGAAGAATATTCCTGACATTTATTATATGAATTCTCTTTTCAAAAATGGTAAATTTAACATAAAAATCTGAACAGTAGCTTTAATTATTTTATCCTACCTAGCATCTGCATAAACAGATCGTAAAGATAACCGTCTAGAATATCCCCGGCCACGGCGTAGTTTTTATCCGATATCTTGTCCCCCTCGTACATGGTAACCTCCTCGATAGCAAACAGATCCTCTGCAATCAAACAATATTAAAGGCAGAGCTAACACGATGCGCCTGAACAAAATCAAGGCTTTTGAAATGCATCAGAAATAATAATAGAGGGGTTTGAAAATATGAGTAAAATCATTGAGAAAAATGATTATCCTCAATATCTTTTTTTAGAAAACTCATGTTTTATGAATCTACTTGAAAAATTTCCATTTGTTTTAGTTTGTTTCTTTAAATTCTATTATCAAGCACGATAAAACATTTTGTTAGCAGTACAAATTGAAATAAAATTCATATTTTTATTTTCATGTTTCGTGTTCACGTCCGGATAGTTCGCATCGTGTAGTAAGAAGTAAAATCAGCAATATTTTGATCAAGAGTGGCAAATTATGTAAACCCATGGATTTGGACAACGACCAACAACAAACCAAACTTTAAAAATGAAACTTGTTCTTTTCCAAACACAGTTCTAAAAGATTAAAAGTGTTATCAGCAAAGAACTATCCAAAATCAGGATACCAGACAAAGAATTTCAGTGGGTTAGAATTTCTTAGGAGAAATCTCCCCCTCTCTGTTAAAAAAATAACTCCTGAGCTAGGGGCTTTTAATGGAGATAAAATTAATTTTTAAAACACTCCCGAGTCCTTGATGAAGCTTTTGAAATTTATTTTATGCATGGAAATTAAGGTATAAGTGTTCCTTAAAAAAATTTCAGATGTCTATGAAGCCATTAACGCTACATGTAAAAATTGAAACATAAATATCCCTTGTTACACTGTAAAAGTGTACTCAACTGCTTCCTGATTGACCCCCTAGATATGAACTGCTTCCTGATTGACCCCCTAGCTATGAACTGATTTCTGACTTACCTCCTAGCTATAAACTATAACCTGATTGACCTCCTAGTTGCAAACTAGTTACTAGATTGATCCCCTAGCTCAGATCTATCAACCTTTTTGACCCTTTGCTATGAACTGCTACCTTAATAACCCCCTAGCTCTAAACTATCTACCTGATAGGCTCCCTAGCTATAAATTACTACCTGATTAATCTCCTAGCCATAAACATTTTACTTGATTGACCACTTAACTATGAACTACCTGATTGACCCCTTAGCTATGAACTGTCTACCTGATTGACCTCCTTGCAATCAACACATATCTTCCTGATTGACCTCCTTGCAATCAACAACTATCTACCTGATTGACATCCTTGCAGTCAACAACTATCTACCTGATTGACCGCCTTGCAATTAACAACTATCTACCTGATTAACCTCCTTGCAATCAACAACTATCTACCTGATTGACCTCCTGGCAATCAACAACTATCTACCTGATTGACCTCCTTGCAATCAACAACTATCTACCTGATTGACCTCTTTGCAATCAACAACTATCTACCTGATTGACCTCGTTGCAATCAACAACTATCTACCTGATTGACTACTTAGCAATGAACTGCTTTTGGTGGCTTGTGAGAATAGACAACTGAGTTTAAAAAATATGCCTTAATTAGTTAACTGAAATTGCTGAAGCTTAGAATTACCTAAAACCAGTACTTATGGCTGGTTATGATTTTTATTTCTATCAAGAAGTGAAATCAACTATTTTGGTTTAACTAATAAATGTAGTTACATTAATTTTTAAAATCGGGTCGTAACGGCAACACTCATCTTCTACTTGTATTTGATCTTCTACTTGTATTTGGTAAAGGCCCAATTTTTTTTATCGGTGGGGGGGTGGGGGGACTCTACATATCGCCTGTAACCATTTGAGACTGTGTGCATTTTCAAATTAAGAAAAAAGGTAAAATTTACGAAAAAATCAGGGTCACACTTAAAGAAATATATCATCTGAAAAGGAATTGAGTCTTTGCCTCCAACTCAAATTTTCTTACCAAGTTATCTGTGCAACCTGACGGTGTAAACCTGTTATTTTTTAAACTTATTTGATCCAAAAGAATTCACAGCTTAATATTTCCAAGGTCTACAGTAAATTAATGGAAAGAAAAGATTTAAGAATTAGAAAATCAGAGTTTGTGGCAAAGACTCAATTCTTTTGATTTCTGATCTCTGCATTTGGTCCAATCATTATCTTGGTCCAGACAAACTAAATTATTAAGGGGGGGGGGGGTTACCTGGTCCCTCTCCCTCCTGTGCCATCTCCTCTGGATGGACGTATGTGCATGTAAAGGATAATGTTTTCCCATTACTCTTGACAATATCAACCTCGAAATTAGGTCGGGACATCATCTCAGGAGCCTACAAACAAACATTCGTTTTTTATTCGTTTTAATACTTTAAATCCAAAATATTATTCATTTTCACTGAAAAATTATTTCTTTTCCCAAATTTAACAAAAAAATCTTTTTACTTTTTTTCACTCCACGTATTCATATATAAAATCTGGAAAAAATGATGTTCTAATGTTTTTTTTTTTGAAGGAATCCGGGGGCTAACATAGGCTAACACAATTAATTTTTTCTTTCAATCTATTTTTTTCTTTTTTCTATTCCACGGATACTTCAGCTAGATGTCTGGTCGAGATGTTCTCTTCTCTTACCTCTCCTGTTCCATCATCAGGTTCAGCTGAGTCTACAGTATGGTTTACNACACAAACTTTGAATCTGAACTTTATGGAAGTTTCCTCTGAGTCTACAGTATGGTTTACATTTAAACTGACGATAATCTTCTCTCCTTGGGCAGACTTGGTCAAGGTAACCTCGGCGCCTTCAATCTTCACCTAGATACAAAAGGTGTTATAGAAACGCCTCACCACGGAAATGCCTCAAAAAAGGACTCAGAAAACTAATTTTATGTCTTCTCTCATCTAAAAAATTTATTTATTCAAAAATTATTTAAGTTGTTAATGATAACTTTATTTGCTCCGCAAGCTACGGTGGGGCCGAGCTCTGCGGCTAAGACGGGCTAGGGGACTAAGCGCTGCGGCTAGGACAGGCAAGGGGGCCGAGCACTACGCCCATGGCTGTGTAAATCGATAAAAAATAGTATTTTTAATTTTAAGTTGAGAGAAGACCTTATTAAGTAAGTTTTACGAGTTTTGTTTTTAGGCATTATCGTGGCAAGGCGTTTCCATAGGACCCCGACACACAATACACTAAAGGTGTAGAGAATAGAAATATGTATATATACGAGCTACAGGACTAAAAATCTNGTCTCCCCCCCCCTCAATAGACCTAGACCGCCTACTGAATAGATAATCTCCCTGCTGGGTCTTAAGTCTGACCTAACCTTTCCTGGATTGGTTGGGTCAGACCCATCAACCCGGATCCGGATCCTGGATCTGCACTGAGTAAAAAATGGATCCGGATGTAAGCTATTTCTATAAATTTACTGAATTATTTTAAACAATACAGAATTTTCAAATTTGTTATCTTTTATTTCGCTTATTTTTTGCTAAAACTTGACGAGCCATTCGGAATTCAGGAAAAAGTTATTATCTCGTTTTTTTTCAGTAGTTCAGATTTGGGTTGAGAGTAATTTTTTTTTAAAGTTTTTGTTTGATATTTTGCCACTTAAATCTGAAACCATGGATCCACATTTTTTTGCAGATCATGATCCAGGAAGCCAAAATCTAGAGGACCCAACGGATCCGAATCCTAGCCACTGATTTATTTGTTTATATGCTAGCTATAGCTGGCCAAACGACTGGACAAAATCGGCTGAAATTTTGTGAGTGAACCCATGGGTGTCCGGGGGCTTACATATGCTAAACAGTTCGATTTTTTTTTAAATCTAATTTTTTCCGACGCCGGGCACTGACCCTGAAAATATCATTACATTTGCTGATCTAAAAAACGTACAAACTTTAATTGAATTTTAATCTGACAAAATATTCATAAGTCAGACCTAACTATTTTTCGGTTCTTACAATTTTCAGTTTTCACTGTACCCTAACATATAGTTATTTTGTATTTTCTATTAATTGAAGGAAAGTGCTAATTGCAATGATTAATTTAAATAATTATCAATTAGCGGATAATAAATGTTTTCGTTTCATTTATCCAATAATTAATTACATTAGTTCAGAATAAACAAAAACAATAATAATTCATTCAACAAATAAATAAACATAAGTTTTATTCCTTTCATGGATATATATTTCTTTAAATAAATAAATCTGCAAATGTTTGCATTTATTGCTTTTCTTTCAGAATTCATTTTTAATTAAATTTTATTACAAGTCATTAAGACTATAGTTCGTCATGGGTATATATTTCTTTAAATGATGAGAAAAAACGCTGAAAAATTGGTGTTCCTTTCGTTTATTCCCAAAGTTTTATTAATTTTTTACTACAGTGGTGGGCGTTTATATCAATACAATGAAAACGACTTTTCTATTTAAGTTACGAATTACTACAAACTTTTTTCAAGTTACAAGTTCACACGTAAACAAAGAGAAGCTGTTTAATTGAAAGATTTTTTTGTTTCCATGTTGATTAAAAGCATGGTAGCAGTAAAAAATTAAATCAAATGTCGTCTATATTGTATTAATATATACGACGACTGTACAATAATTTATGCTCTATGGTCCAGTGGTAAAATCTCGAAAGGTGAATTTTATTTCGAGTAACCTAGTTTCTGCGCTGGTGTTCATTCGGTTCTCAAAACCTTTTGAATCATAAGAAGATCCTACATCCCCCCCCCATATCACCATCTGGTGTATAATATCGTGCGTCATAGAAATATAGATTAATGAAAACAGAATATTTTCAATTTCGGTTTCTCTTATAAAGTGACTTGCACATTTTACTGGAGGAAAATATATAAGAATTATCAGCTAAAACCTGGAAATAAGAAAATATCATCAAAATTAATGAGCAGATAAAGGTTTCAAGAGTATAGCTGTAAATTGGACAGTGCCAAATTTTCAAGGAAGGTCACTTTAAAGCACGCTTACAATCCCTTTATCAAATCTTCAGCAAGTCCCCAAGACACATGCAACGCATTGAGTTAAAAAATTATTCGCGATTTAAAGTGAATGTGAACATAATTTTCTGTGATCCTCCATTTATCATTTAAAATGGCATTTCTGATTTATAACGGTATCGATAAAATATGTGTCCTATCAAGAATGAATCGGATGTTCATGATTATTTTCAATTATGGTTTCTCTTTAAATATAAGTGACTTTCAAAACAGAAACAATAGGGGAAAAAAACATCTTAAAAAACCAGAAAAACAGAAATTTCTTCCACATTATCCATCAGATTTAGAGGGTATTGTTAATTGGGAATTGCCCCTCTTTAAATGGAAGGTCACTTGAAAAAACGTCTGTATAGTGTACAGTCCCTTTAAAAATACACAAACTTTGAATCTGAACTTTATGGAAGTTTCCCTTTATTTGTATTTACCTCCCATCCTTCAAGTTTAGTCAGAGGTTTCTGGTTTTGTTTCTCTGAAGCTATCTCCTCTGCTAGAAACTTGACAATTTCAGCATCACCTTTTAAGTTCAATTTTTAAAATAAAAAATTTAGATTTTTCTTCAAACAAAAAAATGTATTTCATATGTTATCCGAACTTTTATAATTATTCACAAAGGTATTTGAAACATCTCTTAAATCATGTTTCAGTACCATTATTATTTTTGCACAACATTAATTGTTCTCCTCAGAAAACATAATTGTTGCAAACTGAAAAAACAATAATCGACGGTGGGCGAATAAAAATAAATCCACATAATCATGCAAATCACTTATTATATAATTTGAATTGATTTGATTCATTCATTTAAAACAGTTTTCAAAGAAATTTTTTATCTTGTTTTCAGAAAAAAATGTTGTTTAAAATTACATAAATGTTTTATAAATGTTACATAAATGTTATAAAAAATGTTGAATAATTATTTTAAGCCTAGTCTCAAATATAAACTAACAAAAATGAAATTATTGCTAAACGCGTTTTTTTAAAGCTGCATGTCATTGTACGTGTTGTTTTTTAACATTGATGACGTTTTTTGAATTACCTTTTGTTGCAAATGCTCTGGCTGGTACTACGCAGGAGAACTGGGTAGGGGTTCGTAGAACACTGGACAGAAGCCTAAACACAATTTTAAATATTATTTAAAACCACCGAAATAATGATTTGTACGACTATCAACAAAAACTTGCATTAGAAATAACATTTGTCTGCGATCATTAATGCGAGATATTTAAAGACTCACGAATACTAAACATGTTTTTACCATTTAGTATTCAGTAACATAATTCCTTTAGTTTTCTTATAAAGATAACTAGAAAACTTGGGAATAGGAAAATGATTTTAGAATTAAGTTATAACTTTATAAAGCCCCATTTCGCTCAATTACAGTTTTAATAAGAGTTTAATAAAACTATTTGATTAGTTATTACATTAAATTACACTTGTGCATTTCTGTTATGTCGTCTTCCCATTCCATTGTTTTCTGGTTCTCACTGTAGGTGTATGTACTTTGTACAATACAATCTATATAATAAACCAAGACATTCATATATATATATATGTTGCCTATAGCCGGCATAACGGCTGGACCGAATATGCTGACATTTTTTAAAGTCACTCCGGGATGGCCGTGGTGTGTTTTAGGCTATAAAAAACTTATTTTTTTCTCCAAAACTTTTTGTTTTGTTTAAATATTTCTCTTCAAATTTTTTTTCCACGGGCAATGCCTGGCTCTTCAGCTAGTCTTACATAAAATAAAATCAGAAAATAATATAGAATTGTTAACAGGCTCAGAACTAAAACTTTTGAAGAGGGAAGGGGGGAAACTAAATTAAAATGCGACATTCACTTACATTTGAGGTTCCCGTCTTCGTTTTGTTTAGAAATCTTAAAGAAATTTTGCAGATGGGATCATTTGTAAAAGTAAAATAAAATAAAATTTGTGAAAAAGTTATTGTTTCATCACTTATCCCCCTTTTTCAAATATTTTTTTTCAGTCTTTTTAAACGTTTTCGCCAGAAATCGTATTCAAAGAGATAACACCTTAGTCAAGAATCTCATGAGTAAAAAGTTTAAGGGTTTTCAGATCACTTTCCCCCATATTTCCCCACAAACAGATTACGACTTTGATCAAAATTCAAAATCGTAACCTTTGTATAAAATGTATATGAGGGGGGGGGGTGCAAGGGTGCAGGCCTATAGTTCATTCTTCTCATTTTCAAACGACAACGGTGTCGATACAAGACAGGGCTTTATTTGTCAAGACTGGTATCAGAAACCGTTATTTTTGTAACGACTAAGTTGTTTTGTAGATATAAATGTTTTTAAAGTTTTGTGGGGACCTAGGAGGTGAGGGCACGTGCGGGTTCCTTGTATTTCAAGAATTAATATTATTTTATTATAAAGATTTATTCACACACAAAGATATACATATGTAAATGGTGTAGTTTAAATTTGTTTAAATAAATTTTTGAATATATATATAGCTTTACAAAAGAAAAAAAATAAGTATGCAAAATTTTGCACAAATAGGCGACATTGATCATTACTAATTACATAGCATATTTATCATTTCAGTTATTACGTAATCATCGAATCCTTCAATATGTAAATTATTCGTTCTTGTATTTAAAAGTTCTTGCAAAACCGGAACTTTCCATGCATGGTCCAATGGGACATCAAAATATTTCATTTGTTTCTTAACTATTATTTTACTAACCTTGGGTTGGTGAAATTGGAAACAGATCTTGAGTTAGCTGTTACAAGTTTACTGGCTAGATTTACGAGAGATCTGGACTTGGACATTTTAGAACTTATAATTCTGTAAAATAGATTAGTTAACATTACAGAGACACATCACACAAGAGTAAATTCTGTAAAATAGATTAGTTAACATTACAGAGACACATCACACAAGAGTAAATTGCACGCAAGATTAAAATTGTTTGTGTTTTGAATCAAACTTGCTGTTATTGAAGAGTTATTGAAAAGGACAAAAAAATGTTATGAATTTCTTATGCGTCAACGGATAAATTTGCTTTGCTTACTTGTGCGTCAAATCAAAATCATAGAAGCTACGAGGTCTCAAAGAAGTACATGCAACCTCGCAAAAATTTGACCTTTTTTTAACACTATGGAAAAAATCCTAAAATTTGTAATTTCCTATAGAACGCCATCAATTTTGTACAGGGATCTCATATGTAACACACAAATATAAAGGGTCATGTGGCTGCAGCACCCGGCCCCCTAGCCGCGACGCTCAGCCCCCTAGTCTGTCCTAGCCACAGAGCTCGACCCAGAAATTTTCTTAACCTAACCTAACCCTAAAATGATAAAAATAAATAGTAAAAATTTTGTTGAAAAAAAGTAGTCATGTACAAAATTGATGGGAGGTAGAATATCGTGCGTCATAGAAATATAGATTAATGAAAACAGAATATTTTCAATTTCGGTTTCTCTTATAAAGTGACTTGCACATTTTACTGGAGGAAAATATAT